AAATGAAATAATATTTATGGAATTTTTGTGAAGCCCATATTGAGTTTCTCCATTGGAGAGGAGAATCTCCTTTTGAGTTTTAAAATGTAAATTAAATAAAATAATATAAATCATACTGATGCGATGAAGAATTCCCAATAAAGATGTTCTAAGATTCAAGACTTGATGCACCTGGCCTCACGGCTCAATGACCTTAAGTCGGCTTGTAAGGCGCATCATCCCAGCACTCGGCTTGGGATTCGAGTCCCCCCTCCCTCATATTTGTAACCTTGTTCAAAAAAAAAAAAAAAGATTCATGACTTGATCTTCACTAAACAGGACTTTTCAATTTTTTAAATACCAGTACTTCTCAAATTTCCTAACAACTTTCTTTGATAGAGAGGATGAGAAAAATTAAGACGTACAACATTGAATTGCGGTAGCAACAAGTAGGATAAAATGTTGGTCTTATCCATTATGTGACAGGGATTGGACAAACTAATTTTTCACCTTTTTCCTTAGATAAAACAATCATAAAAAAAAGCTCAAACCAAACAAGCCAGAGAGTTGGAGATAAACAAAGTGTAGATGCGTTTAAGCGCATACCCCGTTTAAGTTGGATTTCTACTACTTCACCTTTGCTTTGATGGAGTACTTAGCTAGTGCTCTCTTCCGCAAGCCAAGATTGTAATTGAACAGGTAGTGATCAAACACTGTTACAGGCAGGGCATGAATAACGGCCCACAGCAGGGAATGCGAACAGTTGGGGATGCAAACAGGTTCATAACCAATATGTCTTATGCTTGCTTTGCTATATATCTCCGGAGATGGGATGAGGAAGGATGATTTCCTTATCTTTGCCATCTTTGTTGCCACAAAAAATGGAATCTGAATTTTCAAAAATATCATATATAAACTAATTGAGCACAGGAAATGAAACTAACAGAGTTACATGTGTGCAGTTGAATTAGAAATCTCACCTGACACTGGATATCAATTCCATTTTTCTTATATTCCACGCTGATCGATCTTGAGAACATTGTGAGGTACCTGTGACAGTAAAGATATTAATCCAAGGCAAATTGTATAACATGGTCTCAGCAATCAAGTAAACTGTCTCAGTGAGAGACTTCGTCATGCCACTACACTATATCAAACACCTTTGTGTGCTGAGAAATTCTTCTATACAACAGGGATACGACTTTCCCATGTGGTCCTTCTGTTAGTTCATTTTAACGCAATGACAATGCAATCCCAAGAAGTTAGTTCAATTCAACCAAGTGAGGGTAGTGTTTCTTAACTCCTACCTAAGCAAATGGACCAATAATCCTACTTCCTACCAAGGACATAAGAAACCTTACTCCAATTATACAATTTGCCTCTTTTAGAGTTAATAAACATAGAGATTTTCTTTCTTCAACTTGTCAAAAATGTACAGATTTGCGTTTTGTCTAAATATGAGCTAAACAACAAGAGATAGATTTTCGCTTTTCCAGATTCCTCTACAGTCTCAAATTCGAACCTAAAACTTCTAATTCAGCGTCTCTCTTGTCCGTTGACTTTGAGACAATGATACGAGGATAGAATTAGAATATAATCAGACTAAAACCATTAATGAAACTTTAAGAAATAAGGGGAAATACAGTGACTTACGCTTTGGTAGCAGCATATATGGCGTTTAAAGGGTAGGAAGGGACGCTACCGGAAGCAGAGCCAATGTTTACTATAGCCCCCTTCTTCTTCTTCAGCATTACTGGCAGAACTGCTCTGGTAACCCAGGTAGCCGCCTCTGCATTCACCTGAACAATACTCTGATTCAGCTCCGAATCAGCCTCATGAAAGAACATCGAATAAGGGTAAGCCACGCCGGCGTTGTTGATCAGAATCCCAACATCCAGCCCTTCAATTGCATCTCCAATTTCCCTTGAAATCTCCTCTCCACTGGACTTACCCAAGTCGAGGACGACGGTTCTGATTTCGACACCGGTGCCGTACAGTCCACGAATCTCGCCGGAGGTCGATTCGAGTTTGGAAGGGTTACGACCCACCAAGAGCAAGTTAAGACCTTTGGATGCCAGCTCGAAAGCAAGGGCCTTACCAATTCCATCGGTAGAGCCGGTGACCACAGCCCAAGAACCGTACTTTTTGAGATTCTTTGGCCGTCGGAGAAACACGACCCATACCCAGTTGAAAAATCCGATGACTGGTTTCAAAAGAGAGAAGAAACCCACGATGCTAACCAGTAGCACCACAGCATCATGTAGCTGCATCGCCATTTCCAAGATCTCCACAATTTTCTGAGTAGGAGTAGTTTCTTTTTCAAGGTTTTTTTTTTTCTTTTTTCCAATGATAACCGTTAGAAAGTTAATGTATTAATTGTTAGCTATTGATGTCAGACTAAATGAATATTTCATCGTTTTAAATGAGGCACGTGATTATCAGATGACTTTTTAAGTAAAATTTACGATTACAGTAAAATTCAAAATTCTAACCATCAGCACTTAAAATTATAGGTGGAACCATTAGTCCACAAGCTCTGCTTACTTTTTCAAGGTATATTTATTAGCCAAAGGAGTGGGAGACGCGTACATCCCCGGCATGATTTTTACGGTTGGGAAGACGCAAAATTTATGTTTATCAAAATAAAAACGCAATTCAAGCGTAATAACACTGTTTCGGTTCGAGAGAGACGCAGGGGAGAAAGATTGGATCTCCTCTTGTTTCTCATTTTATCATAATCATATTAAAGAAAAAAAATTAAAACAAAGTAAGGAAAACCCCTCACCTCTTTTATTTTTTTAATTTTTAAATTAAATAATAAAAAAATAAAAATTATATTTTTTAATTTAATATATTTTTTAATATTTATTGATACAATAATAAAAATTTGCTGTTTAAAAATTTCCTAACTTTAATTTAAATTTAAATATAATAATTTTTAAATAAATATATTATGAAATATATTAAATTAAAAATATATCCATTATGATCTAAAAAAATAAGTATAGGTAAAAGATTCTAAGAATAATTGTTGTAGATAAATAATCTTTATGTTTTTTGTTTTGTAAAAAATGTTATCTCTAAAATACAATACCAACTAATTAAACTTCAATACACAAAACTAGTATATTCAAAAAAAGAAAAAAAAGAAAAAAAAGAAAAAAAAACGACTGCATTCAATTGGTGCTGTCTTAAATATTTATGGGCGCCAAACGGTGCCACCTGCACCAGTAGCCGAGAGGAGAGGCACAACCCTTGAAGATGTACGACCAAACATGCATCTTTCGTCAAGTTGCACGGTCAAATTGAATTTGATTTGGATGTTTACCGGACAACCGTTTCAAACAATTATTCGCCTGCTCCTAAAGGGCTTAATTTAATAAAAAAATTTACTAACTTTCGTTTTTTTTTTTTTAACTTTATTTATTGTTTTTAAATACTTTTATATTTGTTTATTATCTTTTATTTTAATTTTAATTTAATCTAATTTAACTCCATTTGATTAAGGGTCTTTTTGGTATAATAATTTTAGGATAACGGTTAATAATTTTATCTAAATCATTAAAGATAGGTATTTAATAAACTTGTATATTTTAAAATTGTTACAAATAAGATATTTAATAAATTTTTTTTAACATTTTAATTATGGGGTCGGCTTGAACTGTTGCCATTAAAAAAGGGGATATGAACCTTATAATAGTGACTAGAGCCACTTGGTTCACAGGGACAAGTTCAATAAAAATTTTTATTTAACAATTTGAAACTAGCAAATAACAATTAAGGTCCAAACCATTTGGGTTTAAATAGTTAGTGAATTGAGAAAACTATCTTAAATAACATTTTGTATCAAACCCTTAACGAATTGAAATTTTTTAACATTATTAATAAATTTATTCATTTTAATTTTTTAATTTTTTATCATAGTTTTTAATTAATATTTATTTAATAAATTTTAATGTTATTTTTTTACGTTAAATAAAATTAAATGATTATTATATTTTTATTTTTTACATTAATTTATCATTAAAAATATATTATCTTAATAAACA